ATCATCACCATCACCATCACCATCACCATCACCATCACCATCACCATCACCATCACCATCACCATCATCATCATCATCATCATCATCACCATCGCCATCACCACCATCATCATCATCACCATCACCATCACCATCATCACCATCATCACCATCATCACCATCACCATCACCATCACCATCACCATCATCATCATCCTCCTCATCATCATCCTTCTCATCATCATCATCATCATCATCATCAGCAGCAGCAGCAGCAGCAGCAGCAGCAGCAGCAGCAGCAGCAGCAGCAGCAGCAGCAGCAGCAGCAGCAGCATCATCATCATGTAGAGCTAAGTACCAGCACCTGGAAGATGTGTATTCTGGATACTCCTATAAGCGGGAACAAAAATGTATCACATGTCGCTGGGACCAGGTTGAGCTAGCGAGACTGCGGTCGGGCCATCATTGGAGCTTAAGATGGTATAAGAACTTTGTAAACGAAGAGCTCAACCCACGTTTCCGAAGATGCCGCCATGAAAAGGAGGATGTCAAACATATGTTGGAATGTCCAGGAACAATGGCAACTCGAATGGAGTTATTTGGACGAGTGGAGGTGCAATGACAATGGAGCCGAAAAAGAGCCTCGCTCTCACTCGAAGATTTCTTTGTGGAGTCCTTAAGGAAACAAAAAAAAAAAATCATCATCATCATCATCACTATCACCGACTAATCAATTCCCTTTCTACATCTTTCGTTGTTCTAGAAAGCAGAACAGTTTGCACCATGTCAATACAGTTTTACGTAACCTACAAATATCGCCACCAAAATATGGACACGTACGGGACAAAAAAGAACGCAGAGAACAAACCGTTCCTTTCCAGGATCCCAACTTGGGCTGATCTCAGACTTAAAACTGCTGTAAGGCGAATTCAAAAGGATTTTTGTTTTCTATAAAACAAAAAAATGGGGGTGGGGGGGAGGGAGGGGGAGGGGGTGGGGGGAGTGGCCAGGTGGGTAGTGTAATGAGGGGTTTTTGTTGTTGCTGTTGGTGGGGCTTTTTTTCTTTCTTTTTTTTTGGTTAGCTTTCTTTTTGTTGCTGATTTTGTGCAAAGGTAAACTAAGCGAAATATTATTATGTAAGTAAGACAATGAAGACCTAGTGCCAAGGTAAAACAAACACACGGGTCGTCACCACTCGGAGAACGAGCGACGCTTCTGTCACAAGTTCACGTCAACGTCCATTGTTACTTTGTTACAGATTAGGTAAACAAAACAGTGACCAGTCACCTCACATACTATTTGTGCATGAGTTGTGGGCGGGGCTTATAGGTTAAGACGGATCACGCTTCCCTCACCAGCAGTATATATATTGTTAGGCCTACCCATTGGTCAACTTGGGTAAACAGTCATTGGAGGGACTAACAATAACGACAGGTGAATGGATTATGACGGCCCGTCCACAGTGTGAGGGGCAGTGGCGGTGGGTAGTGAAGGGCTCACGGGCTTGAGCCCCCCTCCCCACCCCCAAGTCTATCCCAAGGCAAATGAAAATAACGAAATAAGCAGTTGAAACTGTTCTGATCGACCGCAATGAACACAGAGTGATCAACTAGGCGGCTTGCTCGTTTATCCAATCACTGTTGTCCCCGCTTACAACTATAGCAACCTAACAGCCAATCAAATGTCTTTAGGGCTCAGCAATCAACCAGCCCGTTCCCACGGTCTCTCCTTAATGAAACCCTTCTTGTAAAAGGGTAGAAGACTTGAAAAAAATAACAATGCACAGAGGGCTCACGCTGTCCTAGCCCTGACAATGGGGTGAAAGTTTACGACACACTTTCCCCCAGTGACACAGTTACCTATGCGCCCATTGGGCCTTTGTTAGGCGCCTTCTATTTTCTGCAACAACACGACCCTATCCACCTCATGCACGGTGTGTGTTTGGAGTGTAATTGTGTGTTTGTGCCGCTGAGATTTAACAATAATCAAATAAAAACTAATTAGAGAAATTTGGAAGTTAAACGGCTTCGTCCCCACCATCCAGAAGAATTTAACGTAGAACAAAGAGATGACAGACAAAGGTGACTCTTCTCGTTTGAATGGTTCTCAAAATGCCGTGGTTCGCCGTGAGTATAGAAAAATCATCACTGTGTTGTTCTTATTGCTTGCTTTTTGGTGGTACAGAAGTGGAAGAAACCTAAGCCCCACCCAAATCTAGGTTCACCGACCGCCACTGGTGAGGGGCCGATTCAAAATTTCTGACCAAGTGTCGGGCAATGAGTGACCACGCCTGGCGCCTTTGGCAGGTAAATTTGGCTCTTGCCTGTGTTGATAAAATTTAAGGTGGCTACAACCGCGTAGGAAAGGTGAACGTTTTACACAGTTAAATTGTATAGAAAAAAACCCCGCAAAAAAGGGGGGGGGGGTGAATTGAAAGCGACCGTTTGTACAGGCGGCTGTCTTATACTGGTGGCTGTCATGGCAGGTTCGAATATATATATTTATAT